CTTCTGTAATTATCATTTTTTCTAAAAGTTAATTGCTTCAAGTATTGAACACAGATTTTTATTACATGTCTTGAAATTTTGGTTCATACAACCTTAAAACTTGTTCTGAAGAGAAAAGGAGAATTCGCAAAGGTGAATCTCGGCTTGGTAACAATTCTATATAGAGAAAATTAAAAGAATATCGAAAGAAATCGTAGCTCGACTCGGAGTTGACGGAGTACATATTGGGAAGCGCGAAGTTCTCTACCGGTGCGTGAAAGAATATGAATATATGTATGAAATACAAGTAGACGGTTGTTTGTCGATCGATCGATCGTGATCACCGTCGGACGAGAATTTATATCGAAACATTTTCACGGGTAGAAAAATCGTCGGAGAGCGTTGACGCTATAAGTTCTCGCGATTCATGATCACGTTGGATGGCTGTCGCCGGATCACAAAGGAGAGCGCAATCTTCCGCGTTGCGAATCTAACCGCGACACCGAAGCCTTTCCTCCTCGATTATTGCCGTGAAATATGGCAACAATCGCGTCGCGTGCAATGCTCCTTGTTGCGATTCAAGGGAAACAACGGGGAGATCGTTGCAATTGCTCTTCCCTGTTCAGAGCGAATCTCTTCTTGCTCGACTGAAATATTTCGAGCTGAAGGAACGATTGAACGGCGGTTTCGTTTATCAAAGACTGATTGATTTTCACTTATTCGACTGAAACGTGTAAAAATGTTGTAAAGAAGAAAGACTTTATTCAATGCCACGCTAACAAACATTCACTGGTGTGCTCTCAGATGAACGGTTATTGGGATAGCGCTAGGAGAGGATGGAAACGTGGCGAGGGTGAAAAAAGGTATTCGAGGGATGGTACCGTGACGTCAGTTTTTCGACACGATGCTTTTTCCTCGTGGCTCATAATCGTTAGAAAAAGGGGAGAAGGAAAAAGGGCCGGCGGAGTGGAAAAAAAGAGGAGAAAATGGGATAGTAACGGGGAGGGGGAGGGGAGAATCGAGGGCAGGCGTATCGATCTCGTTTCGACCCTCCCTTCGACCATAAAACGCGCCGCTGAGAGAAAAAGTTACGATTCTCCACACGTACACACGTATACATAGACAGAGAGAAATCTATATCATTTGTGCACACACGTATGGATGGACACACGCCATGCCCCTACACGCGTATACATACACTCTGAACTTCGTGGAGTCATCCAACCCACCATATAAAAATATGGACATGTATACATATATGATATGTATAATTATAAGTATAAGAAATATAAATATATAAATAATATAAATACACATACAGTATACATGTAACACACTCACACGAGGCTCATGTACACACGATGTTCCGAACGATCGAGCAATACCGATTTGTATTAACAACGTGTAATAATAATAGTAATAATAATAATAATAATAATAATAATAATAATAATAATAATAATAATAATAATAATAATAATAATAATAATAATAAGAATAATAAGAATAATAATAATAACGATGAGAACAAGAACAACAAACAACGTATAATATGTATTCGAATTCTGCACATGTCGTACGTAAAATACGTAATTTGGATGTAGCGAAGGATTTTTCACGACTGATAACGAGATTACAGAATAAAAAAATAGCTTTTGTATTAATCGGTAGTCCTGTTCTTTTCTCGATCTCTACCATCCCGCAGCTGGAGGTTAATCCCACCGTATCCGGGACCATCCCAAGGATTCTCGTGCAAGAAAACAACATGATTTCGGACTGACAATTCTTTTCTATACGGATATAAAACTTTCTCTCGGGGTACGTATTAAGGATACTTTTCTTTTATTGTGAGACACGGTTTACGATGTTGGAACAATCCTATGATGCATACAGTTACAACGAGTATCCTCTTTCTAACAGACTGTTTCCTCCTCGACTTTCTGCTGAATTGAAGGAACGTTAGAGCTCGGAGAAAGGAGAACAGCGTAATGTCTACATTAATTTTTACTGCGAGGCGCTTGCAAAGCTCGCCGGTTTTACGTTTTTACGCGTTAATTACAGCACAGCATGGCCAGCAAGCGAAATAGATTCGCGAAGGATTGAATTTCCCAACAGACGAAAAGTGCTGTACGTATATATCGCATGACCCTTTGATAGCGCATCAGGATTAACTCTTATCCTACTAAAACCCGGAGCCGAAACTGGCTGTCTCTTTTCCAACCGGGTTGAATATGAAATTATTTAAATACAACGTGCGTTCTCGCGCGCTGGCTCTACATTAAATAATGTTTTCGCTGCCATTTGGAAACGCGGACGCGATGCGTCGCGCGATTACGCTCGCTCATAATGTATACGCCGGTGATGAAACTCGCGCGCGTGCCAGCCAAAAGGGTTAAACACGAAACGCGTGGAAAGCGCGTTTATGATAATGTCCCAGAAATGCGTTATGTAAATTCGTCGCCGAGCGTCATTGTTTAAACGACGGAAATCCATAGTAATCCCTCGTATGCATGCATCTACGTATGCGTGTCTGCGTTTATCTCGAAATAATTTCGTACAAAATGTACCGTGCCGTTGGACGAGGAATTTTTAAACTGTTGCGTTTCAAAGCGTTCGCGTTACAAAAATAAACGCGGGAAACAGAATCCCACGTTCAGAATCGCGTGCGCCCACTGTATCCCGGAAAATGTTTCCTGCAATACAGGAGCCAAGCGTATAATCAGAGTAATTACGTATTCCCGTAACGAGCATCACTTTAGAAAGGTTCCATCGGGTGAACGTAAATCTGCGTAAACAGATGAGCAATTAATTTATTTCTTTGGTACTTGCCGTAATGTAACAACAGTCAGAACCAATTGTAACGGCGATCAAGCTATTAGCGCCCCCCTGGGAAACGGTGGAGTTTAAAGCGTTCTTTGTATTCTACGTGCGCCTGTTACAATCCTTTTATTCAATTGCGACCAGCCGATTCTCCGAGCTGTGAGAACGGCAGGAAACTCGACTTCTTCTAATCGCGTTTTCCGTTCCCAGCCACGTTCGTAACGGAAGTTACAAACAGGTAGACGCGCGGTGTGCGCCGCAGCAACGGGGAAAATGAAATTCCGGAAGCGGCTGTCGTTCGGGACGCGCGATTACCGACGATATGAACGTCCGAAATGAAATACTAACCCGCGGCGATGGCCAGTTTTTCGGAAAATTGCGAAACACCCCCGATTGCTTCCCGCCTCGTTAGCTCCACTAGCCAAATCGAATCGTTGAAATGAAATCCGTAAGTTCTTCGTATTTTCCTGTTTACGAAAACGAAATAATGATTTTCATTCACTTAGTGCCGCGTAATTATTTGGCCCATTTTCCTCTTCGGTACCTTCTCTAATAACAATTTAACGTTCACGGAAAAACAATTAAATTCCAATCGACGTTGGATATTGATAAATAAAGTGTGTACCTTCCGATAGTCTGATTGCAACCATAGAACGAAAATGATTCAGACGTGTTTGCTAGATTAATTACATATGTACAGACCCATCAACGGCAATAATTTATTGATTCGATCCGTCGAAATAAGTTAATACCGTATATTAATCGGAAAATAATATCATTAATACCTGACAAATATGATTAACCGTTTAAAAAACACAACGACGTTTCATTACGCGCTTCTGCAAACAATTAACACAACGAAAACGTGAAATAACGACATCGAATAAAATTAATGTTACTTTTTGTTGCTATTTATTATTAAAAACTGATAATGAAACAAACTAATTAAAATTAT